TACGCAACAGGATAAGTGTAAAAGCCTTTACCTTGTGGGCACTGACCACGGGTAATTGATCTAACAATTAGCGACACCTGTCACTTAAACCTCAGGTACCTTTATTGTACGTACATGTATTTAACTGTGATATGTTGTATTGTAAATCAGTTAGGTTTTAGACTCTGTACGGAACACATCGGGTTTATTTTGGACCCTCCAGAATATCCCGCCGTCAAGTCAAAAGTTATCTCTTATTAAATTTCAAAGTTAAACTTTAATTAACTCTTACGTCATCATTTCAACAAGACAAAACGTGCAGAAAAACCTTATGTTAGTACGACAAACAAACGGACAAACGAGGAACCAACATCTATACCAGTTCACTGCTCTTCATCTGCGCCCGAAAAATCTCCTCTCGGAAAATCTACAACCGATAATACCACGATTAAACAGACACACGAGAAACCGAAACCCATACAAGTCAACTGTCCGTCATCAGTATGTAACATGCCGCGTGAACAGTTCAGTGGATTTAAACCCGTAAATCGTCGTAAAGTCCAAAGATTCTATGTGCATGGTATCAATAAGGCAACCTCGAACGGAAAAATATCAAAGTTAACTTTCTTCGATATTTCGAAAGAGACTACAAACGAACAGCATCGGGACAACTAAACGTAAAAGACGACGGTAACTGTTTGGTAGGAAACCGGTCTTTCTGGCCAGAAGGCATATATATATGTACGCTCGTGGCTACCTCGCGAAGTGTTCCTAACTGAGAACGGGCGCGGCTGAAAAACGTAACATTATGTGTTGGAACATTGAGGGGATAATGGCTGGCACGCCATATCTTCTTAATTGTCACAACACAAATAACATTGATATATGTGGTGTCTCCGAGCACTGGTTGAGAGAATTTAATATGTCATTTTTTGATACTTTCAAAGGTGGTGGTTACTCGTACATAGCAAAACCAGTCTATGAAATTGACCCACTCCGTTATAGATGTTGTATTAGAGGTGGTGTTGGTATTTTGTACAAAGACAAATCGCTAATTGTTCAAGAAATCCCTGTGGATAGCCCGGGAGTTATTGGAAGTGAGATTCAAACTCATAATGGGGAGCATATATATTGTTTTTTGGCTTACATGCCGGCCTCCTCGAGACCAATTGAAATTTTCATTGACCATATAAATCTATTAGAATCGCTTGTCTCTCCATGAACAGGGGAACTCCTGTTTATATACCTTAATCAAATTCATTTTTAGGAACGGCGATAATTCGTCCAATTCCATGAAATCGAAAGGCGGAGGTGTGTTATTAGCTATAAACACAAAGATTCAGTGTACACACAGAACCGATTTACAAACGGCGAAATATCCACAAATAAAAGTAAACTTTTTTGTGGCTTGCATTTACATTCCGCCGACTGTCCACTTGATTATATTAATGAATTCGAGCGATCCATCCATGGTTACAGGACCCTACGGAACCCCATTTGGTGCCCCAATGTGTAAACGATAACGCCAGGTATACAGCGATACTGAACGCCGTTAGTGAACATGATTTACACCAATACATTTGTATGTATCGAGTCCGACCACTCGTGACAAAATACTCGACTGGGTCCTAGGCTCTCTGGACACGACAGTAGTCTCGGTGTGTGACCCGATTCTGGAATCCGACCATCTAGCCATCTCGGGGAGCCTCACCATATCCGATGCGGCGCGTTATAGCAATATGGCCGTACATCTTTAACTATAAACGTGCAGACTTTATGTCCATGAAATGTATTTTCTCAAACACTGACTGAACTTTTATTTTAAATTCTGAAACAGTTAATGATGCGTTTTACCAACTACATGATGTACTCACTACAACTATCAAGACATGTGTCCCCATGATTAAACTAAGAAAACGATGTTTTCCAACATGGTATGACAATGACCTTATAGCAATGGTTAAAGAGAAAGAACGTGCGTACAAAGTCTATGTCAAGGCCGGTAAACGACGTGATTCTTCTGAGTATGCTATTTTTTCTTCTCTACGACAGGAGTTCAAATCACTCCAAACATCTAAATATTATGATTATATCATCAATGTTGAACATTCTGTAAAAGACAATCCCAAACGTTTGTGGGGATTTGTGAAAGGAAAGCGGAAGGAGGGGACAGTCCCGGACTCTGTTTCGGACTGTTCATCGTCGTCTTCCAACAATGTTGAATCTGCAGATATGTTTAATTCATTCTTCAAAAGTGTGTTCTGTATGGACGACGATTGTGATCTTCCTCAAATATATGTAAAAAACGAATTTGACTGCCCGCTAAACACAATTGTTTTGAATTGTACTGATGTTCAGAAGGCACTACACAAATAGATGTAAAAAAAGCTTGTGGCTACGACAACATATCTGGCCTGGTTTTTAATGAGTGTGCTGATGAGTTGTGTGTACGACTGTGTAACATTTTCAACCGTTCATTGAACGATGGTATCTTTCCAAGTATTTTTAAAAGGGCTAATGCTATTCCCATTTTAAATCTGGTAAATGTAATGAAGTGTCTAATTACAGACCAGTATCTTTACTACCAATTATATCTAAAGTTTCGAAAAACTGGTTGACGTACAGTTTTCTTTTTTTATAAATCCGCTTATCTGCGATGCGCAACATGATTTTATGCCAAAAAGGTCTACTGTTTCAAACCTTGCATGTTTCACCGATCAGATTTCCAAAGCTTTTGATAAAAAAGTAGAATTACATGCTGCATATACCGATTTTTCAAAAGCAATTGATAAAGTAAACCACAGATTATTATTGCATAAGTTAAAATTGTATGGTGTAGAAGGTAGCATTTTATATTGGTGTGCCTCAAGGTTCGATACTTGGACCTAAACTTTCCCTTATTCTCATCAATGAACTGCCATCTATTGTGAAATTTTCTAAAACTCTTATGTTTGCCTACGACAGCAAATATTTGAAGTGTGTAAGAACGTTGTCTGAGTGTGAGCAGCTACGGAGCGATATAGATAGAGTGTATGATTGGTGCTCTGTGTGGAAAATGAAAGAAAATGTGAATAAGTGCTGCCAGGTCATTTTTACAAACAAGAAGAAATGTATGAATTATAATTACACTATGAACGGTGACAACCTGAAGAATGAGTGGTGTGTGAAAGATGGTGTTTTAGTACCCACATTAGACGTACTATTTCCAAATCAATGCGAATGCTCGGTTTTATAAAACGTACATGTAAAAGTTTAAACAAATACCTGTTTTAAGGTCTTTATATATCAGTCTTGTCAGGAGTCAGTTAGAATACTGTTGTCAGATCTGGTCTCCTTACCAAACATCTTTAATTCACCAGGTCGAAGTTGTACAGCGTAAATTTTTGAAATTTTTATGTTTTAAGGCACACGTTGACTACAATTCCATGTCTTACGCTGACACTTGTAGGTATTTTAATCGTCCTAGCCTCGAACATAGGCGGGCACTTTTAGACGGTATATTTCTTTATAATTGAGTTAATTGTGCTTTTGATTGTCCATATTTAGTCAAGCAAATGTGTTTTTTAGTCCCTGGTCGTAATCTACGATAATCTACGATCAATTCGTTTTAACCAGTTTTACTGCCAGATAAATAGAATAAACGTTAGAAAGTATAGTATTTTAAACAGGATTCAAAGTTATTTTAACCATCTTGATTTTGCACCAGACTGTGATATGTTTTGTTCCTCTCTCGCCGAGTTCAAAGTACGGTTAAAGAATATTTGCTATCACTAATTCCGTTTGTTTTACATATGGGTATCTTTTAGTCTGTGTTGCATGCATAACTGACTGTGATACTTTATACTTGTGTTGTAATGTTGTTATCCATTCTGTAAGTAGACCCTGTTGAATTGGAAATAAATAAATAAATAAATAAATAAATTAAAATATGAACTGTTACTTCTTTTATGCACATGTATAACTTTCAATGGTTCTTTAGTTTATATGAATAGTTTGCAATATTAAACAATGCAATGCAAGGTTTCTGTGTACATAGTGTCATTTAAATCGGCGCAGTACAACAGGGACCTCAGTGCAAAAACGTATACATATATATATATAAAGGGGCATAACTCCATAAATAGACAAGGTAGATCATTTGTATATTTTTGATTCTTAATTCACATGCCTCTGATGCAAATACTATGTGTTCAAAGTAACATAAAGTTGGTTCAGTATATTGACGGAGTAATGTGACTTTTGTTTTGAGGCATAACTTACATAAAAAAGCCGGATCCAAATATATATCGCCGAGACAACATTTCAGAATATCTTGACTACATCTGTGAGGTTTTATAAAATTTATCTGGAAGTTTTAACGTTTCAAAAGCTCAGAAGATTGTGCTGTTAGGCGTAAAGTAGGTTCGGAACAATGCACAGCCAGACTGGGGTTGGAACTATGACCCGAAATGAGTAGTACTGCGAATTGTATAACCAAAAAATGAATAAAAATACGTAACTTACGCTCGACTTTCATTTTGATTTTGGCAAGTAGTTGAATATTCAATCATGAAATATGAATAATCATATTGAGTACCATTATAATACGTAACTTACGCTCGACTTTCATTTTGATTTTTTGGCAAGTAGTTGAATATTCAATCATGAAATATGAATAATCATATTGAGTTCTATTATAATACGTAACTTACGCTCGACTTTCATTTTGATTTTTTGGCAAGTAGTTGAATATTCAATCATCAAATATTAATAATCATATTGAGTTCCATTATAATTACTCTTCTCTATACTTTTAAGGTGGAAGTGAGATGATATCTAAAAAATCTTGTCGTCAGGTTATTGGCCATGTTACAGGTCAATGCTGTTTACTACGAAACATGCTCTCACTAGCTCATTGTCCAGAACGTCTGTTTCCCGCTACATTTAGAAAAATCGTTACCAATGTCACTCGGCTCAAGTAAAACATACGAAAACAGAAATATCTGTCTTTCAAGCTTTCATAAAGAAGCCAACAAGCAATATCATGTCTACTCTTAGTTTATTTGCGACCTCAACATTAAAACATTTTGTTCAGTATCAACAAATAACAGAACGGTGATGACGGCGTTTCCCAATTTTCGAATTTAGAGGCAATACCTTTGCTGTGCGACTTCATAATTAACAAACGTCAAAAATCGTAATAACAAAAGATCATTATAGCGAATTATCCACTCGCTTACGATTGATGCAATACAACATATAATATAAAACAAGGACATACTGATTTTTTTTTACAGTTTACGTTGCATCGACGGACTTTATTTGAAAACGTCAGTCATAGGAAAATGCACGGCTTTTGGCTGTTCTACCAATCGAGCATTCCGGTGAATCTTTATGGGATTATTGTTTTTTTTTAATTTCATTATTATTTTTTATAGACAAAAAGACATGAAAAAGTAACACTGTTCATGTTATTTTCCTGTTATGCAAAGGATAGACAAAATGCCTAGGAAGCAGATCAGTGATGACATTCATTGTACTTCTGTATGAAGCACTAACGGAAAGAACTTCAGAAAAGAGCTGCCAGATTTGTTTGAAAAGTTTGAATCATTCTGACACTACAGTGCCCTTTATCGGTGATTGTTCTTTCAGATTCAAAGTTGAGGCTACACCCAGTCTTTTCCTTCGGCAGTTTCTCCATTTGTATATGACCTTAGCTATTGAGAAGATTTTTAATTAAAAAACTGGGGTTTTGAAGGTTGAAATTATGGATTTTACATTTATTCCATAAATGTTTTAACTACGGACACTGATAATGATGGAAGATGTTTATTTTTTAATTTGACATGAGCAAACGTGACATAATTTGCAAATAACAGGGGAGTAAGATTATGGCGGAATCTTGATTATATAAAAAAAAACAGTGTTAGAATGTCTGCCAAGAAGGACATTATTTACAGCATCACACTTTTCCATCTTTCGCTTGTCGTAGACATCTCATTTAAACACATCATAGTTCATGTCTGGCATGTTGCTACATGCTGTCGGTCTGTTGTTGCTGTAAAGAAAATAACCCGTATCATTATGTCAATAATGACGACTAAACAGACACAGCATGTAACCGTTACATATTGAAATTAGAGAACTTTGTCCTAATTCTGTTTTACACGCTAGAGTAATATGTAAGATTGTCCTAATTCTGTTTTACACGCTAGAGTAATATATAAGATTGTTCTGATTCTGTTTTACACGCTAGAGTAATATGTAAGATTGTTCTAATTCTGTTTTACACGCTAGAGTAATATATAAGATTGTTCTGATTCTGTTTTACACGCTAGATTAATATGTAAGATTGTTCTAATTCTGTTTTAAACGCTAGATCAATATGTAAGATTGTTCTAATTCTGTTTCAAACGTTAGAGGAATATGTAAGATTGTTCTAATTCTGTTTTAAACGCTTGAGTAATATATAAGATTGTTCTGATTCTGTTTTACACGCTAGAGAAATATGTAAGATTGTTCTAATTCTGTTTTACACGCTAGAGTAATATGTAAGATTGTTCTAGTTCTGTTTTAAACGCTAGAGTAATATGTAAGATTGTTCTTATTCTGTTTGAAACGCTAGAGTAATATGTAAGATTGTTCTAGTTCTGTTTTAATCGCTAGAGTAATATGTAAGATTGTTCTAATTCTGTTTAAACGCTAGAGTAATATATAAGATTGTTCTGATTCTGTTTTACACGCTAGAGTAATATGTAAGATTGTTCTAGTTCCGTTTTAAACGCTAGAGTAATATATTAGATTGTTCTAATTCTGTTTTAAACGTAAGAGTAATATGTAAGGTTGTTCTAATTCTGTTTCAAACGTTAGAGTAATATGTATGATTGTTCTAATTCTGTTTTAAACGCTAGAGGAATATGTAAGATTGTTCTAATTCTGTTTTAAACGCTTGAGTAATATATAAGATTGTTCTGATTCTGTTTTACACGCTAGAGAAATATGTAAGATTGTTCTAATTCTGTTTTACACGCTAGAGAAATATATTAGATTGTTCTAATTCTGTTTTAAACGTAAGAGTAATATGTAAGGTTGTTCTAATTCTGTTTCAAACGTTAGAGTAATATGTAAGATTGTTCTAATTCTGTTTTAAACGCTTGAGTAATATATAAGATTGTTCTGATTCTGTTTTACACGCTAGAGAAATATGTAAGATTGTTCTAATTCTGTTTTACACGCTAGAGAAATATATTAGATTGTTCTAATTCTGTTTTAAACGTAAGAGTAATATGTAAGATTGTTCTAATTCTGTTTTAAACGTTAGAGAAATATGTAAGATTGTTCTAATTCTGTTTTACACGCTAGAGTAATATATAAGGTTGTTCTGATTCTGTTTTACACGCTAGAGTAATATGTAAGATTGTTCTAATTCTGATTCAAACGCTAGAGTAATATGTAAGATTGTTCTTATTCTGTTTTAATCGCTAGAGTAATATGTAAGATTGTTCTAATTCTGATTTAAACGCTAGATCAATATGTAAGATTGTTCTAATTCTGTTTCAAACGCGAGAGTAATATGTAAGATTGTTCTAATTCTGTTTTACACGCTAGAGTAATATGTAAGATTGTTCTAGTTCTGTTTTAAACGCTAGAGTAATATGTAAGATTGTTCTAATTCCGTTTTAAACGCTAGATCAATATGTAAGATTGTTCTAATTCTGTTTCAAACGTTAGAGGAATATGTAAGATTGTTCTAATTCTGTTTTAAACGCTTGAGTAATATATAAGATTGTTCTGATTCTGTTTTACACGCTAGAGAAATATGTAAGATTGTTCTAATTCTGTTTTACACGATAGAGTAATATATTAGATTGTTCTAATTCTGTTTTAAACGTAAGAGTAATATGTAAGGTTGTTCTAATTCTGTTTCAAACGTTAGAGTAATATGTAAGATTGTTCTAATTCTGTTTTACACGCTAGAGTAATATGAAAGATTGTCCTAATTCTGTTTTACACGCTAGAGTAATATATAAGATTGTTCTGATTCTGTTTTACACGCTAGAGAAATATGTAAGATTGTTCTAATTCTGTTTTACACGCTAGAGTAATATATTAGATTGTTCTAATTCTGTTTTAAACGTAAGAGTAATATGTAAGATTGTTCTAATTCTGTTTTAAACGCTAGAGTAATATGTAAGATTGTTCTAATTCTGTTTCAAACGCTAGAGTAATATGTAAGATTGTTCTAATTCTGTTTTAAACGCTAGAGTAATATATAAGATTGTTCTGATTCTGTTTTAAACGTTAGAGTAATATGTAAGATTGTTCTAATTCTGTTTTAAACGCTAGAGTAATATGTAAGATTGTTCTAATTCTGTTTTAAACGCTAGTAATATATCAGATTATCGCGGACTCTGATGCTGACATACCATCCCAACTAACGCCTCTTTTGGGATTATGTTACAGAATTTTAACCTGCGATCACGATAAACAAAAATGGATCATTGTAAGGAAGTAATATTTATCAATTTATTGTCGGATAGAAGGACAGGGATACTTACATGAAATTTGGTATTTCGAACGCACGCAGTTGTAAATTACACATGTTATAGTTCAGGCACATCACCTTGGACAGTGTCATTTTCTTGAGTTCTATAATCTGGTCTGAAATGTTTAAATATATATGTATAATAATTATTTATTGCATGGCATGATGATTGATGATATTAACATAAATGATAAAGAGACTTCGTCCACCCATAAACAAATGGAATAACGATACCAAAAGAAACGCTATTTTGCAACAAAACGACACCCATTCAATAACAATTGTTTAAGAAATGTTAAGTAGATTCTGAGGCCTTAAGAATTTACTTACAACTGCACATGACAAGACAATGTTCCGGCAACTATTTAAAAGGTTAAGAGACTTCATGTGTTCTCATCTTATCTTGAAAACAGCAATCACGTCATCCGAATTTGAAAATAGCAATCAGGGCAAAGAAGAATCTAACTTCATGTTATTAATGTAAAACCTATAATCGCCACAAAGCTGTTCAATACTATAACGAATAACAACATAAACATACTGAAATATACCTGTGTTGAAGACGTTGCTACTTTCAAACCAGAACCTGTCTCCGTGTTTAAGAGCCTGAAACTGTATTCCTAGAAGGCAGCCGAACGTTGGTCCAACCTTTCCACCTGGCACGTACTCTTCTGTCATAGCTCCAGCGAACAAGTCGATATCCGCAACATCGCTGAATAAAGAAAGAAATAGTAATATTAACAACACCCAAACAGAAGAGGTCATTATGGCCTATCAAGTAAAGATAAATAATGTTTAACGAAAAGACATTAAACTAACGTCTAGTAGAAAAGAAAATGTGACTATTGTTATATGAACGTCTAGTAGAAATGAAAATGTGACTATTTTTATATAAACGTCTAGCAGAAATGAAAATGTGACTATTGTTATATGACGTGTAGAAGAAAAGAAAATGTGACTATTGTTAAGAGAAATCTTTGGGTTTTATTTCGTGATAACATTAGTTAGTACTGTTTTATGTGTCTCCTCATGATGCTGTGATGTATATACGATGTTGATCGGTAATTTGGCTATGAGGATTTAACGTCCTGTAAACAGCTAAGGTCTTTAAAGGACGTCCATCTGAGTGTGTTGTGTGTTATGTGTGCGTGTATGTGTGCTGGAGACAGGGATTGTTGGTGTACTTCATCATCCTCTAAATTCGAGGGGTTCGCTTACTGACGTTCTCGTCACGCTTTAAATATGTCATGGCAAAATCGAATGCACGTGGTTAGCTATTATTGGTTTCAGGGGAAAACAAAACAAAATTAAGACATTGAGGCTAAAGAAGAAGGACGACCGACTTGAAACAGTCAATTTTACCGATTTGGTTCCGCGCGATTCTTTCGATGACTGTGTCACCAAAAGATGGCGCTTACATAACCTTCGGTTTCGTCCGAAATATTCCAGGGACTAACATGGGCTTTATGGCAACGTTTATACATGGTAACTCAACAGCTCAGTATTCCAACAGTTACACAAATATGTTTTCCAACATTAAGGTAACACCCTGACCCTGGTTGCAGAATAGCTGTAAGGGTTAACCAGTGGTTAGGGAAAAATCAAAAATATATCTTCAACTAAATTTAGAGCCTCTGATATCATCGGAATGATATTGTTTTGATGGTTTATTCTGCCTTGAAAGCTAACCACTGATTAGCGTTTACCGACTTGTTGAGTAACTGGGGCTCTGTTGTTATTTTATTTGTCAATCTTCTAATTATTTGGGTCTATTTTTTGTAATTCATAATATCGTAGAGCGTGGTTGAAAAGCAACCAGGTTTTCATTAGGAAATCATTCCCGGGCTTCTCTTTTGAATTCTCTCTGTTGAACAACATTTATGAGCATAGAATGTTGATAATAATATACAAGTTCTAAAACGGTAAGAACGCTTAAGACATAACGGGTATAGGATATAATTACGTCTTTGTTTTGAAACCATAAATAAAAGAGAAAAAACACTTACCCGTATATGGACGCTAAAAGTGCTCTGTTGGCAGAAGCGTGGTTCGTCAAATCACTGAAGGACGCCGGTACGTTTAACCCACACACACCCCGAAACTCTACATAAGGCGGAATACCATGGTCCCTTCCTCTCTGGATGTTTATAGCAGGAAGGTCAAGGCTATGTCCAAGAGAATCCAAGAAGAGTAGGTCAAGCACACCCTTCGGAAACAGTCTACAAAATATAAATCAACCTGTTCACATACCTGGCTGTAATTATTTTCCGACATGAATATCTTTCGAACGGCCAATCCTGATATCTATGAAGGGATAAAGCATTTATAAGAATTTTATCATTTAGTATCACATTTAATGAGTAACAACGGAATTCATCACAGACCCCATACCACCTTCACAGCTAAAACACTCAACTCTGATATATTAACCATTCTGTGGTACAACAACTCTATACCTTTCCAGCCTCAGTTGGCGGTTCACAAGCTCATTTACTGCGAACAGCAACTCCCAGGAATTCCAAGTACACAAATTGCAGTTACCTCCACTCTATCGACAGTTTTGAAGTGTTTGTTGAAAAACGATAATAGAAGAACTATAGATAATCATATCGGTATGTAAAGACATAAATACAATTGACGATAGATATTTGGGCTCAATGGACCTAGACTATGTATCATTTCCGCTGTAGAATCAGACCTTTATGAAATATCCCAAAAAAGGAATAGGAAAATATAAGGATCGGAGGATATCACTAAGGAATAGGTAACACACCTATGAACGGGATGAAAAAACGTAAATATTTGATAAAACAAGTTACAACATACCTTCCGGCTTCACCCGAGTGGCTTGTCACCTTCCATCTTGCGTGCTTGTCAAGGTCTTCACCTTTATTACGCACGGTAAATATTGGTCGAAGGAAAGTGTCTTCTATTTTGTTCACTGTCGTGTGGTTGTAATAGTTATTTAGGTTATTCTGGAAATCTGTGATCTGGGAATGGCCGAATCGGAAAGCAGCAACAGCGAAATTGTTAAAGACGGTTGGGTTTATAGCGCTGTTGTAAATATTATGAGATGATTCCCACACTTTAAGCTTGTATTCATTCATCAAATTTGGACCAAGGATAAGAGGGAGGTATTCAGCGTATGTTATCTGCTGTAGTACAGCAATAGTCATCTTTCTGGCTTCCTGGAAGAGTTTCTCGTCGGTCCAACTTGTTCTCTGAGCCAACTGGTTCGCAAAGAGGTTATGCAACCTCAATATCAGAACATGGTCGTTTGCGAGATTGGGCACCACTTGAGTACGTCCGTCACCTAAAAATACAATGATGTTCACTAAAGGATATAGCGATTGTAAAAAGAATAGGCTTTTACTATATTTTGGAATATTTTGCCAAATCCTTTTGCTTGTATTTTAGCGAGTATAAGAGTATATAGAACTTGACAATATATGCGTTATTTGTTTGCCTCTTATTTCAACAGAAATTATTTTGAATGTTTAACTTTTTTGAAAAGCTGGTGTGTAGTTAAAATGTACGTGTTATATCTCAAATATTGAAACGTTCCAGGTTATTTTTTAAATTAAAAGGAATTAAAAGGAATGGTTTGTATATATGGTGTATACAATTCAATATCCTTTCAGTCAATATTTCATGCAAAAACATTCTATACACATGTCATGACATTTAATGAAGTATGTCGCAATATGTCAGATAAGATATCACTGTCAATATTATTTACCATTGTCTGAATTCATTATTGTAACAGACGATTAAAACTATAGGAGAGTATAGTGTATCTAAACACCCGCTGTTTATCTATATGTTGCAAAGCAGCAAAAAAATGTATGACTATCTATGTAAATACATCAATAAATGAACACGTTGAACGAAATAGATAATGTATTGTCTTGCCTGTTTTTAAACAAAAGTTTCCTTCCTCTGAAGTCAGTCTGCATGACACAGGGGTTTCCAATGGAGGAGGTAAATTACCAGGACTTACCAGCATCAGACCTGATTAACATTCCAGATCTCAAATTATTACTATACTAAAATATTACGTATGCAAAGGAATTAGAGGTTGTATAAAACACCACATCACCAGACCATGTAGTTTATCATTCCTATATTAAAACGTTATTTCTTTATTAGTTTTACTGTACCCCTTTCTTCATCAGCGTCCCTCATTTACATTTTCGATTTTTGTTTTTATGGTTTATCCTCATCGCAACAGCCAGGGTTATATGGGGACAGGTGCCTAAAGACACATAGTAGGGAAGAGAATATATATAGCAAAGAAAATAGACAGACAGAAAATATAGAAAACGTAAAGGTTCGAAGTGTTGTAATAGGGGCAGCATATTATTGTTGGTATCTTGTACATCCTCATTGTAGAACACTCGGAATGACCCCTATTCTGCAGGGTCCCAACATTAGTTGCCTTCTACAATACACATGCAGTAATGTTTATTGATGTTTTCTTACGTGCCCCAAAAAACAGAAGACAAGGAAGAAATCAGTCACAAGTATGCAAAGGCCCAACATCAGTCGCCTCTCACAACCATACAATGAGGAAACAACCGATACTTTCCCCGAACCTACGCGCGTCGAAGTCTTAAATTACATATTATTATAATTATGTGAACGCTGGTGTCATGATATAAGCTACAAGGCTGTAACAATTAAAAATATTCTTATGCATATATGTGATCCGGAGCAGGTAAAACGTGTGAAAAAAGTCCACCTAGGACTTCACGATTCGTACGTGTATAGATTTTTACTAGGGGCAGATAACTCGTATTAGCGTACCTCAAGCTATTCGAGATTTTTACGATTGGTTTTATCGTGTTTAACGTCCAATTAACAGCCCGGTGAGGTCATTAAAGTATGTACTTATTATAAAATATGCATGCATGTGAATACGTGTGCTGGAGACAGGTGTGCTTGCTAATTGCCCCCTTACGATAGCAGAAGACACTGAAGTAAATATTCGCAATGAATGGCCTACGACAAGCAATGAGATACAGATGGCCTCTTCTTTCCTCGAATCTGCAGAGGGGTTTATGAAAAATTAGCTCGGTAATCAAAGCTTTCAATATTTGTTTGTTCTTGACAATTATCTACCAGAAAACATCGTACAATGTATCTGTGCGGGAACGACAAAGACTATGAGCCGAACTTACTATAAGGTATTACGAATGGAGATTAGTGAAGGTGGATATAGTGTCACAGATCACTCAAACTCGACATCGAAAGACACGTATTCACACTTAGTGCCATTTAAATGATTTCGTGTGCTAAGATTCACATATCTATTTTTATTCATTATCAACAATTGATTAGGCATAACGCTATTGAAATTTGTTTTTTTGATTTGATATCAATGCGCATTCTTTATTTGTATAATAAGAGAGAACATTAATAGTTAAAATCAATCATAAAAGTTAAGATTAAGTAAACAATCGGGTACGGGTTATTTAAATATTTCGCAAATTTATTATCAGCAATAATTAGAAAAAAGTACGTGCAAGTATGTTTTGCTATCTTTAAATTGTTAGAATAAAGAAATCGACAATCTTTGTATATGGGAAGGAGAGGGAAATCCATCATCAAAATTTTCAAATTTTGGTACAACGCCTGGTTAGTCATATGTCGATTTCCCTATCCTTCACATAAACATATGCATATATATAATTTTGTATGAATTCCTTTCTACCTTTATTTTTCTCCGTGTCTCTGAGAGAGAGCTGTCTAGCAGCTGTTGCCCCATACACCATTGAACCGTCAATAAATGAGGTCGCCAGATTCATCTGTTCTCTTCCTACTGCAATGCAATCAAAAACAAAAAATCAAAGTTTTAAAAAAGAAATCTTTATTTTGAGACCACTCAACGGAAAGCTCAAAAGTAGTATCTTAAAAAAACTAACTAGAACACTGACAGGCCAGTAAGGGGCCCGTCTTGTGGCAATATACTCCCCATAACCATCATGTAACAATCTGCCCATATAGCTGGGCTTGACGTTTGACATTTGGACTTCAAAAATAATCGCAAAACATACATTTTACATGTACTATGATGTGATTCTTGTTTCCTTTCACCTCCATATTTGCTGGGCTAACAGAAATGTAAATACTGGTGCAATATTCATTTGTTAGCCTTGAATTGTCTTATTTCACCTTTAATATCTCCTCAATCAAGAGCCAGGGTCAAAGTCCGAGATCCACTTTGTCTTTGACCTTCGGACCCAAATGACATTGACCTTTAACCCAGTGACCCTGGTCAGTTGAATTATTCTTTAATTCCGACCAACTTTGCTTCATATTATCATACCAAAATGTTCATCAGTGAAAAATGATAAACTTGACCTTGACCTTGAACCTTTGTACCCCAAAACCGGGACCTTAGGTGAGTTGACTCCGTATTAAGTTCTGAACAACTTTGCTTCATAATCACATAAAAAAATGTTCATCAGTAAAACAAATTCAATATTTGACCTTGACATTTACCCAGTGACCCTGACCTTAAGACAGTTGATTCCTTGTTCAATTCCGATCAACTTTGCTTCATAATGTTCATCAGTGAAAAGATACAAAATTTGACTATGACCTTTGACCCAGTTACCTTGACCTTTGGTCAAACGACTCCTTGTTTGAATCCGTCCAACATTGCTTCAAAGTGTCATAACGAAATGTTCACCAGTGAACAGATACTAAATTTGGCTAGACCTTTGACCCAGTGACCTTGACCTTAAGTCAGTTGACTCCTTTTTGTTAAATTCTGACCAACTTTGCTTTATGATGCCATACTATGCTCATAAGTGACCTTGACCCCTGACCAAATGACCTTGACCTTTGGTCAGTTTAATTATTATCAACTTTGCTTCATCATGTCATAAAACAATGTTCATCAGTGAAAAGATGCAAAATTGACCTGGACTTTCGAACCTCATGACCTTGACCTTTGACCTTTACTTTTCACCTCAGTGTGTATTTTTGTGAACTGAACATCTTTACCGAGGGTCATGTAAATAGGTCAATTAATACCAAAGTTTTCAGCCATGTACAAAAATTGTGGACAGACAGACAGACAGACAAACAGACAGACAGAGTGATTACTATAGGGCCCTAATAACATGTTTTTTGCTGATGATTTTTTTAATTTAGTCCTATTAACGGCAATCGTCACTTAAGGACGTGCATCTATGTGTATGCGTGATTGTGTGTATGTGTGTTTTTGGTGATGAAAACATTGCTGAATCTCAGGAGAGACGATTGTTTTATTACTGGTGTTAAATCGAGAGATTCATCTTACTCATTAGCTAAAGTTTTATTATGATATTTAGTTCGCCTGAATGCCACTTGAAAATGAAACTTCATTTTAACTTTGTGTACATTGTGTTCTACTGAAAATAAATTGTATTAAAATATTGAAATTTACACTTGTTTGATAATGACGTCGCAAAAAAATCATCATTATTTGTTATTCATATTTTTAATAAATGTAGTTGTACTATGTGGACGCGTGCTCTGGCGACTTATAGGAAACGACAAAGATGTTTAGATTTATTGTTGTTACGACAAAACAGTGTTGCTTACTTTGACACTGGTGTGAAGTAAATGTAACATCAAGGTTTTATTGATTGAACTTTTACCAATGCAACGATGGTGTTGTGTATGTGTTGAGAGAATGTCAGGTATAGGGGGACTAAATCGATATGTAATAGTTATGAAATAAATTATCGTTCTCATTTGAAACTCTCATGCGATAGGGCGGATAAATTGTTGAGAAAATAAATATGGACAACATAACAGGTTTATATTATCTGTACGGCTGCACAATTTAATACACAGCGAATTCACAACAGGGGCAAACGCCCCAAAATAGGCCTCTGACCCAGTTTTGTTTTGTTTAATTTTGTTTAACGTCCTATTAAGAGCTATGGCCATTTAAGGAAGTGCCACAATGTGTGTAGAATGTGCGTGCTTGCGTGTGTGTATGCAGGAGACGGGATATGTTGATGTGCTTGCCTCCTTGTGTAGCGCGGATCTGATGCCGACTTTATAGTGCTATCTCATTGAAACGCCATGCCGAAGGCACCAAACACAGCATACCGCTCGGTCTCATTATACTGAACCAGTTGTTGCCATTCCCCTAAATGCTGAACGTCAAGCAGGGAATAACGACTATCATTTTTAAGGACTTTGGTATGTCTCGGCCTGGGGACAGAACCCATTGCCTTCCTCACCTGGGCGAACCTATAATACTTACGGGGGATACAAGACGAATCTGTGCTGGTGGTGGGAGCAGATCTGACGAAATCCAAACACTCGGTATTGTTGAAATGTGGATCTGTCGTAAAGTCTACAGCAATTGCAGCGCATTCGACCCTGCGTTAAAAAGATGTGTTAAGTAGTGTTTTGTATAACAAAGAGTTATCGCCCCTATATCTCGACCCTGCGTTAAAGTGACGTGTTAAGCAGTTTCTTGTATAACAAAAAGTACCCTCCCCTATATCTCGACCCTGCGTTAATAAATGTGTGAAGTAGTGTTTTCAAAAGAACAAAGAGTTATCTCCCCTATATCAGTAGCTGTAAAGTCTGTTTTTAGTAATAAGATTAGTTATAATGCTGTGTACAACATTGAAAGCTCATTTATTAGTTTAACCGTATATAACAATGTATAAAATAAAAACTATGTTGATTAGGACACCAATGGCGAACGCTTTTGACATCTGAACATTTGGCTCTTAAATATGAACTTATAACACACACAGATACGTGACTACAAATTTAAAATTTGGTAACAGTATGCCAAAGATTTTAATTACACTGCATTATACATATTTTTTGTCCTTCTATGACTTATTGTGGATTATCCAAACTGTCTGAACTACTGTTGAAACAGAGGGGACCGTGCATAAAACCCCATCAAGTTAGGAATTCGAGTGTAAAGCACGCATGAGAGTATCAGTGTATTCTGGTTATTTATTAACCATCATAATGTAATGTATCTATGTCATCATATTATATATTATTTATGCTTTATTTCGTAAGTATTTGCATTCTCGGAAAACATTAGGTTATATCAGCAGAATGTCAACGCATGATGCGATCACTAAAATGCCCTTGTTTTAAGCGATCAAGCTTGTCGTCAAACGATTAGATGTGTAATTTGATATTTGTAGCAAATCAGTCATCACTGAAGAAAGAAATGGGTATAAAATATTTAAATCACCTGTCAGTTACCGCTGCTCGAATGGTGCTGTTTACTGGAGCAACACAACAGGCAATGCTATTCCCACCAGCACCTGTTTACAAAAGAATCCTTATTCAGGACATTTTGATTCTACACATAAGGATTGAACGACGTATTTTTCAATTTCATATCGGCATGAACAAAGAACAAATGCCGTTCAATGCTTATATTTACATTTTAAATATCAAAATATTATTAAACGCAATAAAGATAATTTCTTTTTTTTAAATTGAAGCGTTCGTGTTCCAGATTCTGAAACAAACTAACCACTAAACTGTTCGATTTTAACAGTTGTCTCATGTTAATCGAAGAAGAAGAAACTTCAAAAAGGCGCTAATCGAATTGCGTAACGCATTTCCCTCTTGCTTTAGTTATTGAGGAACTTGCGATGGCGAGGTTAATATAGGAACATATCGCGATTGAGAAAATTATGAATGCACTAATATAAAGAGAGCTAATGAATACGCCCAGAAACGAAAATATTAGTTATCAACCTCAAGCCGCCGAAATATCGACAAACAGCAATTTCGTATTTCTAATTAAAGCTAAATCATACATACTAAAACCATATCATACTTTATGTATTTGCTTACACTACCAGCGTCCTCAAGCCAATTCTGTTTAAAAAGCTATCATACTTCAAAGTGGTCGTCATGTGTAGTCTCCCTATTACTGGGCATACACGATTGTGAACGTAGCATTTCGGTTGGTCGAATCCAGTAATAAAATAAGATATTCGACAAATCAGAACGCGTGTTTCAAGCCATGTGTGTCTCGGATTAGAGAGAGACGAACCATGTCGACTTGTAAGGACTATGTAAGTTTAAAAAAATATTTAAAGGTTTGAAAACACTGCCATTATACGCATATCAATGAAGTAAGAACCAACTGCCTTTTAGGTTTAGGCAAACATTCAACGCTGGCGTATCGCACAGCAAAGATCTAGAAAATCGCAATCGTTTATAATTACCGAGAAAGTATAAAGATCATTAATGATGGTAAAAAAAGAAAGATAAAAGGCAAAAAGGCAAAAACCTTCTTTTCTTATCTGTAGAGGGTTCAAATACGATCATACAGTGTGATACGAGAGGTCAATTTTACTGAATCATCACATTAATATTGACAATTCTTACCTTTCGAAACTGGCGTAAAAACCATATCGTGGTCGATAAATTGACCCCAGCTCATAACTTCGAATGATAGTTTGGTGTCTTCATCCTTTTTTGAGAAATCTCTGAAGAGCGCTGATGAAATACGCCGGGCACTTGGCAGTTCAACTGGGGTTTGTCCTGATGTTGCGTTTCTCGGCGCTGATCCAAGTCCTTCATCGGGATACCATATATTCGAATTATTATGAATATAGATGTACAGTTGTAACTGTGACATATTGAAATCAATTTTTTATAATATGACAATTTAAGCAGAGTACACCGATCAGATATTTACGACATATCTTATAACATCAATAAATTGAAGGTTCGTCTGAAAATATCAACATGACCACAGCTTTTGTCAATTCGTGTGTTTGGAGGTATAACGTCCTTGCATTAACACAGTTCACACGATGATATTAGTACGGTTGCCTAGGAAACTGGATAACAATTAAAAGAACGGAGATAAAAGTAAAGGCAGGTTTCAAACGTAGCAATGGGTGAAGCAGATCCAATCTGATCTCTCAAAGTTCCTCTCAGAAGAGGAAAGCAAACCCTCTCCCTATATTCTTTATGGCCACAAACATCTCGCTTATTAAGACGTACAGAGACACAAGCAGGTCCTTTTCTCCCCACACTGATGTGCCACATGACACAGGTGGTATATTCAAATAATATATGCCAGAGGGTCTTGTGTTCCAAAATTCCTTGAAGAATTTTGACATCATAATACTGCGTTTATTGGGTATTCCTATGTGTGCCATATAACGACAAACACTCACTCTCATGTTTCGCAAATCAAATAATACATCATCTGACCAGATGTGTATCAGAATTGTGTACAACAACATTCAAACTTGAGAGAAAAATTATTTTAACATACTTGTGGTATTAAATACAATTTGCTTAGACGCCATAGCTTTAGTATATAACCTCTGAAATGATACCAATAACTTCCGTAAATTTTCAGAACCTGAAATCGAACTAATGAACTGCGATCACAATGCGGTCGTTCTAATCAAACGAGATTCCTGATTAGGTGTAGTAAGGTGCAGTAAGTCAGGGGTCCTTGATCAAATATATGAAAAATATGAATTAAGTGTTGCCTTACAGTTCTCAACGGTTCGGCAATTACTTAAAATGATTGCGATTCTTACCCAGATCATCTCCGTATTTGGATGGTAGAAGCCTTGCCTGTGGACTTGATGACTTTCCCCAACATGGGTTTGCCAGATTATTACATGTACCGTCTGCTGTACGATATTGGGTTTCGCTGGATGGACAAGTCACACTGCACAAGCAGCTTGGGAAAGCCTGCGACCACAGTGAGTTAATTTCTGAGTCAGCGCGGATGGCGGAAAGGGACTTTTCAGACCTAGGACAAAAAACAATGTCAACCTTGAATCGTATTTTGAAAATCTATAAATTTATTTCTGAGGTAAATGTTTTTTCTATCTTTTTTTTTCTTCTAATTTTTTTTTCTTTCTTTTTTTTGGGGGGGGGGGGGGGGGGGGGTTGTGATATTTCTTTATTCAAATATTAAAATTATTAGAATACTTTCTTAGTTTATAATCTTTGTTTTACAAATGTGACATGTCGCCACAGTGGCGTTGTCATGTTTTCTTATATTTGTCTTTACAAGTTACACCTGCTAGCAGTATTTATTGTAAACCATTTATGAACCTAGAGCTGATGGATGAATCAAATTAACATTGAGTAATAAAGATATATTGTTAGAACCAATTAGCTCGAACTCGTCGTATTTAATTATTTAGCCTCGTCCTTCATACTCACAGCTGTTTTCTTTAAAAATATATTGTCATATTTTTTTTTCCATTCAACCAGCAAGTTACATATTCTCATAAACAAATAGTGTCCTCTCGTACGAGGGCTTCCATACACCTCACTCTCTTTCATACACTATCGATTTATAATGTATATGCCATTATTACATATTTTTATATCATTCATTACTATTTGTTTTAATTATATCAGGCCTTCTAATGCTTTTTTTTATAATCCCCTCGCTTACCATTATTCCGGCTCAACGTTAATGGGTTTTTTTTCAACATCTACGATAATGTAAAAATGGTTCTGCGGGAATTGCCGCCGAAAAGGAAGAAAAGTAGGGCGAGAAAAAACTATAGCTTCCATTTTTTTTTCTTTTTTCTTTCCCCAACCCTACGTGGGCAGAACTTAAGTATGGCAGTATGTCACGTTTGGTTGCCGTAAAATAACTCAACTAAAATATTTCCCCTTACGGGGAAACAAATCTCATCAAAGTTTTACGTTCACGTACAATTACCAAGATTCGGGCTAATTTTGATTGCTAGTATGCATATGTTCGCATAATCAATGAGGCTACAGACTTATAAGGTGATACTTTGTATCCAGGCAGTAACTTCCCTGGTTATATTTCGGTTTTCAAACACTTCAATAACATTGCATATTTCACAAATTGGGAACTACAACAAAATCAGTCATGGGGTAAGAGGTCCTTATTCGGCCCCAAATATTTTTGTAGAACAATCCCTGAATGTGCATACACCTTTTAGTTGTTATCCTGTTATGCTAATGAATAAATATGCAAGCCTCCAAAATTGAAACATATGTAGTCTCTATACACATCAGTTCTGAGATCCCTCCCATGTTTACTTGGAGTTGTTGATCCCATTAAACAGCAGGTCTTTCTCAAACCACAATGAGACAAAACCTGTCCTGTAAGCGTTGGATATAAATTCAACGCGTTTGTTCTTGACTCCATTTACAAATTAAAAATGCCACTGACATATTCCAACACAGTTAGTTGTTTTGGAGTTTAATGTCATTGCAACAGAACGGGTCAAAATAGGTGGGCCCCCAACACAACTTGTACAGTATTTCAGAACTTTTGATTCAATGCATTACCGTTTATGTTTCGGCATCGACTAAATTAGATTTAGGACTTTTTTGTTCAAATGGCTTAAATACTGCCAGGGGGGTTTGGAAATTTGTAGGTTATCTAACAAGTACTAAAGCGGCATCCACTTTTTAGTTTTAGCACCATGTTATTCGAAATTCATATTCAGGAAACAAAAAGACAGCTAACCTTTCCAAGAGGTATCTCAAAGTCTCAAGTTGTTCAACGGCGTCGTATTCATCTTCTTGTCCGCTAGGAGTTTGCGGTTTCATTGCATAAACAGCTTGCCTACAACTGCCTTCTGTCTCGTCTTTGTCATCATCTGTTTAAAAAAAAACTATATTTGATACACAGCAATATACAGCTCTACCCTGACAAAAGGTGTTTTCTTGGTGTCAGCGGTGTCCTCTTAGACGAAAACTGAGGAAGTCAATTATGATGGGGATGCAACATGTAGTGCAGAAAAGGACACAAATGCACCAATGCACAGCCTCAACCACACGCATGCACGCGTGCATTAAAGACACGCAGGCACGTCCTTAAATCACCTCTGTTCGTAGGAGATATAAAAAAATACACCTGCTATTATTCACTGCATGTATCGTAACAGGCGACTTATGTTGAAATCCCCTGTGGAATTGGGAATTTGTTTTGTGTTTGTGTTTCTACTTTTGGACACAAAAGCGACCAAAATAAATTTGTATCTGTATTTGGTATCTGTATATTTTTCTCTACTTCTAGGTTCCTTTTATTTCCTAGCGCTTTGCTCTTTGTTCTATCCCTAGGACGCGACATACACAAGTCATTAAAAATGGTTGTTGTTATTCCCTGCTTAACGTTCAGTATTTAGAATATTGGGTAACAACTGGTTCAACCGTTGTGAGTATTAAGAGACCGGGCGGAATGCTACACTGGAGGCCTGCGGCAGGATATTTCAGTGAGAAAAAGTCTAAAGTCGGCATCAAATCATGGTTATCATACGGAGGCAAATTCAACAACATACCCTGTCCCCGTCACGCAAACACGCATACACAACATACATGGATGAACATCCTTAAATGATCTTACCTGTTAATAAGACGTTAAGCAAAATGAAACAAAAAACAAGCACAATCTATCCTGAAGGGCCAAGCATATCAATAATTTCTACGGGTTAATAATGATAACAGTAATACAATTTGCCTATTAGCTTTGGTCACCCTTCCAACACATACCCATATGGTGTAGAGGAAGTATATTTGATCGTGATTGTGCCTACCGTCAGTTTTATATAAATAAACGAAAGCAAACAACGTTAAAGGTTCGAAAGCACAATACAGGCCCAAAAGTATTTTTCTTAATCAGATATTTAAAACTGAATATCGATATATATAAGACAAGACATTATGTTGGTATACCTGCACGATCCAATCGGGTCTGTATTTGCTCCTTTAGCTGTTGTTTCCCGAACTCACGGGCCTCTGAAAAAATCGCGGTTATATTTGCATGAACAACGCGCTGTAACAGACTGGCCAACAGGAACCATTTCCATAACGTACACATCCAAAAATACATAAGCATTTGTCCTGAAATGACAGAAAAAATGTCATAATTTGAAATTTGTCTATATGTATTTAACACATATCAACATCAACTTCTATAAAGAAGTTCTTCTCGAAGGAAACACAATCAAACAAACTAAATGGTTAAAACCTATGATAGTTCTTATCAACAAAGATGAAAAAACTTACGTAGCGTTGTATCATTTGTAATACATGTCAAACGTTTGTTAGACTGCGCTTCATTTATCGAGGCTCCTTTCAATTTATGAATTTTGTCGAATCCCATTTTTTCTAATAGTATTAAATTTAAGGACTGTTTCTAGAAACCCTTGAAGCAATCGATATATTTATCTATTTATTTTGTTTTTAGTTATTTGTTAGTCTTTTGCTTGTTCTCGGGTAGTTACGTACATGCATCTGCTACGATCATATGTTTACGGTTGCCTAGGCGACGCACTGACGGTTGAATCAAAATAGTTTAAATAGTAAAACCTATTGCACTGAAACAAAATATTAACAACTTGAGAGAAATACAAAACTCAAGATATTAGGATAAAAATCACGCAAAATTGTTCCGTCAGAAAGTAGTAGTTTTAACGGTGACTTGTTATACGAAATTGACCCTATATATGCCAATGATGCCTCACAAGCGTTTCCTATGCTAGGGTTCACTTTTATATCATCTTAAATCGGAGATTATCTAAACAAATCAGAAACCATGGTGACCATCTTGTCAGATGAGGACAGAGAAGTCCCTGTAGCCATTTTACAGATAAATACGAACATTAAGCGCAATCGAACAATATCTTGATGTTTGATGTCCGATCGGACACTGTAATGCCACATCTACATCTGGCATACCAATCATTACCTGCGTCAAATTTATTTGTTTGAATGCGACTAGTGATTATGGAGAAAATGGTCCAACAAATTTCGGCAAAACCGGAATAATATTATATAAGAAGAAGCGAGGTAAAACAATAAGTCATCTAAACCTATTTTTCCTAGAAGACTTGGAAACATTTAATTACATCTGTGAAATTTCTACAGTGTGGTATAGCAAACGGCATTATTATTTTTCTTTTCCAACAAGGTACTATTGCTTTCAATGTTTTTTTTTGTTTTTTTGACGAATATATTGTAAACAAAATATCACCAAAAATTGCATGTTATTGACACCTTTATCGGATTAAAAAACTAGGCAAGCAATAAACAGAAAATGAAAAAATGTAGCTTTGTATATGGTGCAACAAATCAAAAAAAAATTTCAATACAAACTATCATGTTTTTTTGAAAAAGAAGCCATCCTCTCTATAAAACAGTTGAACTTGTATGGGTAACGATGCCACTTACCCTCTCAGAAAGTAGATATTTACTCTTTAGTTTACGCTCAGTCTTCACAGAAAAAACGAGGTACTCGTTTGTGAGGTGCAGACGCACATATTACTATTAAAGATAGAAACGCAGCACTTTATATACTAATGCAGTTAATATAGCTTAAACGCGCGAAATTTATGTATTTATTCAAAACATATTAAATCTTCAAAAACATATTAAAAAGTATGACTTGGATATTTTAATACATTAGCATCTCAATTGAATCTTTAATCTCGTGTTGATTGTGATGTTTGTGTTTGCCTGTTTTGGTTATAGATCATCGCAACAGCCAAATCATATGATTGAAGACGGATGTCAAAAGGAAAGAACTCATATATCCAAAATTTCACGATGGGTCATATCAATTTTAGTCTCTTTATTTCCTCCGAGGAGTTTGATAATACTTCATTCAATATCTTGCAGAACAAACAAATGTATAGAAAAGTGTTTATGATTTAGTAACCGTTTAGTTTCCGGATTTTTTTGTGAATATTATGTGTGAGAATAACCGAACCAGCAAAAAGCAAAAAAACTAATCTGGTTGCGCGGGCGTATTTACAGAGTAAAGAATACAATCATTTTCAATACATATTGACTTTACCTACTTTTCTTGACTCTGTCGTTTATACGTCGTGTGCACTCATTGCATCGACAACATTTTTTCTCACATTTCACCGCCTCCCTTTTGATCATACTTCGGAATTTGTTACATGTTTAGACCCGTGATAATAGTGTTCGGACTGTTTATATGGTTCTCTACTTCAACCAAAGCCAAATTTGGCCACCGACGAGACTTAAAACTTTGAGCCATACCCTTACCACACTCTTTGAATTTCTATGGCGAGACACTCATGAGTCCATTTGGGTCTCCCTGCACGTCAGAAATCGATTTGGAATGCCATGAACCCTAAGCTGAACGTTTTTCGACAATGCCCGACAGAATGAAGGCATTTTGTTTGTACCATAAACCACCAACGCTCATTTGATGTGTACATATACACTTTGTTTATTATATAACCATTTGAAAGAGTTGTTTATCATGTTCAATAAATCACTGGAATTTGCCCGTATTAAAGCATGCTGTTGATTTTAATATGAGAGCAAACATAGAATAAAGAGAAACTACGTAGACGGGGAGGTGACCAGCTACTGTTACGTTGGATAACCTAATTGAATCCCAACAAGTGCACTATTCCGTCTTTGCGTATTGCAGAGTTATCTTCTCTTGGGAGCAGGTATTGATTGTTACGTCATTGGTCTGTGTGAAGAAAATTACGTCGTTTTCTCAAAATTAGATGACGTTACTCTCACAAACAAGTGACGTAACAATCAATACCTACTCCCAAGAGAAGATAACTCTGCAATACGCAAAGACGGCATTCACACTGAAGAGATCAAATTGATCTGCTGCCCTCATTGCAACGCTTGATATTTTTTTCTTTTTCTATCTTTTGTGCCTTTTTTTCACACTTAACTTTGACACTAGGGAACATCGATTTTGGCTCTCATCGCAACACCTGAAGTCGGTATACTTTCCTCTTCGCCACTCTTTATTTTCGGAGTTGTCTTCCTTTGCACCAGTCTTTCTGCAGGTCGAGGATGACTGCAGAATTAGAAATTTCGTTTTGTGTCCTATATTTGGGAGCACTAAAGCGACTAAATATAAATTTTCCTGCACCCATTGCAATATTAAGAATCTGAATATGTCTCCCTACTTCTAACTACCTTTTATTTTCTAGTGCCCTGCTTTCCAAAACTTACATTTGGCCCAGGTGAGGAAGGCAATGGGTTCTGTCCCCAGGTCGGGACATACCAAAGTCCTTCAGAATTGTAGTTGTTATTTGTTGCTTAACGTTCAGCATAAAGGGGAATGGCAACAACTGGTTCACCCATTGCCAGTATAGTGTGACCCGGCGGAATGTTGTGCTTAATGCCTTTGGCATGGTATTTCAGTGAGATAGCACTTGAAGTCGGCATCATATCGGCGATATCACAAGGGGGTAAGTAAACCAACATGCATACCTTAGCTGTTAAAGGGGCATCACGCTGAAGTAACTATTTTTTGTGTCTTTTTTTCAAATACTTCATAAACATATCAAGTGAGACTCCTTATGGAAAATAACGATCGGATTTGGCTGAAATAGATTCATAAAAATGATTAAATCTAAGATTATCATCGGTATTTCTACCTGTCTGACCAACGTTATGTTCAGGGATTTCCCTCTACTAGCGCATGCGCATTGCACACCATTTCTTTGTAAACAAAGTGACTGACCGTGTAAAGTAAGCCAAAGAAAAGTGTTGTACCGTGTCAGCTACGAAGCGAAAAGTTTCCAAATGGTCAAAAGATAGCGCACGGAGTACGTTACGGAATAATTATTACAGATGGGAAGTATTCGAAGGAGAAAATAACTGCCTTAGCAGTTAGTACGGTGCATGTATTCTTCCGGATAGCCGGTTAAGCTGAAATGGAATCGACAGAAATGCTAGCGCTGTTCATGTTATGAATAAATATCTAAAACTATTAACCTCGCTAGTATCTTTGTCTGAGTTTGAACACAGATGAACTTAGTTTAATATGTCAATGGGCATGTATCGGAGAGAGTTTATTTTGTGTTTCTATAATTATACAGTGGTTTATGCGAAAGGAAGGGATAAGTGACTGGTTAGTTTGATTGATTTTGTCATGAGGCCCTCCAAGGGTTAACTGTTGTGATAGCCACAGCGTATTCTGTCTCTGTCGGTACTCGTGATCGGAGGCAAATGAGATACGTGCGCTTTTAGATTTACATAATTTATAATATTACCGGGTTCAGTAAAATGGTATGATTTAATTATATGCTGAATTAAATTTTTATTTGTTTTTACATACAAGATTTAGATTAGTACTAATATAACGGACTTAGATAATTCCGTGCTAATAGGAAAACACGGCTTCCTCTGGCGCAACGACGCAATATATAAAAAAATCTCTCGTCGTCAGAAAGCTTCATTATCGCAGCTATAGATTAAAAATGTCAAAATGACGGGCCAGGACGAATAACTGAGGAAGGAAAACCTACTTCTAGTAAATAGGATCGCGCAACATTTTTTTTTTAAATCGTAATTTTTCAACAGTTCATGTTTTCATATGTTGTTGACTTAGAATGTATGATCATGTAACAACCTATTCTATATAAAAAATTAATTTTCAACTCCAGATAGAATCGGAATACGTATTGAAAACAGAGGAAGAAACATTTGTTTACGTTGTAAAAATGACGCGTGCTGCCGATAACAACGGCTTCTGTTTCGGACAAAAATGAAATGATTAAAGAAAAGCTTGCTCAACATAAAAAGGGTCCATTGAAAAGAGTGCTTTAATCTATGAATAGTATTGAAAAAATATAATGATCAAGTAGCTCAACACGTCCCATATCTGACACATATTCTACATGTACACGCAGTGGTTTTGCCATACATGGCTAATATGACTTACTAAGTGTTAGCGTAAGGAGACAGTAAAAGTGGGAAAGAGAGTATACATATTTTTGTATGCATGGTATAGAAAAAAAAAATGGCCAAAGATATTGAGTTGTACAATATAATAAATGTAATAAAACAAAACACAAACGTTTCTCTTTTTTTATACGCTTGTAGTTTGTCATTGCATATATGCACTGTATGAAAACATTTGAAAAGGGATATTCGTCTCGTGAATATTCCTTTTTACAGAAAGGTTTGTCCCATGGTTGAAGAAAGGTGCTTAGCCCCGTACAGATGTCACATTCCGGTACTAAATTCTATATATATTTATATATATATACTTAATGTTTATGCCTATTATCATTGTTGACATTTAATTGTAAATGTATGACGGGAGAAGGCTGTGATAAATTGTAAAAACGTGTGCCCCATCCCTTGTTCAAGTTTATTGGCAACAAATATGTTTAAAGCTAAATAAATTAAAATTCTGAATATTGGCAAGTGTGCAATTAACTTCTGATGATGAATAACTACTGTTCAATAAGTTTTAATACGGACTTAGAAATCATATTACTTGGTTTCATAGTGCGGTAAGAAGTTGCAGTTGCCTGACGTCCCTCTCTGGGGGCCCCTTTGGAAACCGTTTCATCTCGCCCAGACCGCTCGTGTTTACTGCCTAGTCAGGTGACGTGACCGGCGCTATTTTTAGCAGGGCTTTCCCGAACAATTCAAGTGGTCAAACTGGACATTTGGAACGGACTATGAATATGGGGATAGCGAGGTAACATAAGTGGAAGTGCATACAATACATACTTTCATTAAAAAAAATATTGCTTTTCGCGTGATGTCCCTTTAATAGGACAGTAAACAAAATAAAAACAATAACTTAGCATACATTCTGCTGTTGCAGTATGATTAACGCCTTACAAACCAGTCATAAATTTAGTTCCAGTCAGGGTACTGTGTATTAAGGATATACAGATGTATCAGTTCGATTTGTAAGGTTATCATTCTATTTTTTCTCCTTTATGTTGTGTATTTAGAGTAGGAACACTCGTTTGCGATTCATGTATATTCAATCATATGGATTTATACAGAATTTTGCAAACATATTTGTCATGCTTGTTTATTAAATGTGTTAATATCCAATTTCCAGATTATCTTGTTCAGTAAATCTACACAAGTTTAAACATGATAGTTATTATTAACGTATAATACGGATGGTTTACTTCCAAAACAAGAAAAATAACAATGTGATATCAGCTTAATGGTTGTAAATTTAGATTTGTTCCTGCATGTAAGTAAAGCGATTAATTTAAATGATTCTGCGTGTTTTCTCACACTAAAATAACTCCTATGAATAATCAAGATGAACTATCAATGCATTTTGCACATCAATATAATAAAAATTATATCTGATATAAGCAATGTTTTTTTAAATATTGTTTGTTCTTTAGAATCTATTGTTGATGTACCTAATCACATGTTTCGAAAATGTCTCTCCCACGGCACGTTTGGGTAGCCGGTAGATTGTTTTTAAGAGTAAAATTCAATTAGATTTAATGTACCCATTTAATCCCTATAGTAAATTTATAGATAT